TTTTTTTTTTTTTTTTTTTTTTTTTTTTTTTTTTTTTTTTTTTTTTTTTTTTTTTTTTTTTTTTTTTTTTTTTTTTTTTTTGTTTTGTTTTTGAAATATCAGGTTACAAGATCAGTTCCCACGCAGCTTTGCAAAAAAGTGTCTAAAGTTATTAGATCATAGTTTCCAATAAATTAATTTTAGACTATGAAACTATGGATTTATTTATTGCTAGCAGGGACGTGCGAAGTGAGAGAAGAAGGAGAAGCTGCCCCTGGCGCAAGCATCATAGATGGGCAGTACAGAGAAATAGCGAGGGGGGAGTGGTGGGGGGACAGATGTTCCTGGGCGCCAGCTAGTTAGGGGTGCCAAAATGTGCTCTGATATTATTTTATTGATGAAAATAATGGGTTTGAGAGTTTAAAAAAAAGAAAAGGGGGCGCTTTAAAATGAATCTTGCCCCCGGGCCCCAAAGACTCTAGCTACGCCTCTGGGGCAGTATGGTCCAGAGCAAAGAAAATAAAGTAGTGGATTAAGTGACGCTGTATACAATTTTATTTTTCCATGAATTATTGCCAACTATTACTTGAGTCATTCAAAATGGGAACGAGTTGTAGTTGTAAATTGATTAACAACAACTAAATTCAGGTAGAGGCCTATTCGCCAAAATGGATGGATGCATTTGGACACCCCCCCCCCCAAACTTTTGCTTGGGGGCGTCGGGACCCTGGATTTCCTGACATCCTTTTATTTTTTTTTTTTTTTAAAGGTTTTTTTTTTTTTTTTTTTTTTTTTTTTGGGGGGGGGGGAGGGCGCAACTCAAATTCCGTCTTAGACACAATTGTCTAACTACCCCCATAGGTTATAGCATTCATATATTATTAATTGACGAATGGATGGGATACCCTTTTCAGGCTTCGCCCCGTGAGCAGACTTTCCCTCCTTTGATTGATAATTCTAGTCCTTAAATTTAAATAATATATAAAATCAGGGGGATGGGTTATGAATGATGAAACTACTTTATTGTCCTGACGTAAATATAGCATATACCATCAATTACTTTTTTTTACTAATTCAGTTTATTACTCAAAAAATATTGTTGACAATTTTTTTTTTAAATCTAAACATTCATCATTCATTAGAATTAGTCTTAGTCATTATTAGTCATTAGTATTTTGTTTTTGTTGATCATATTCATAATTTGATGTTGCTCTCGTTGTTAAGGAGGCCTGTAACAAAACGTCGTTTGATCCGCCTTATTATTAGTCTAAGGATTTCTTTAGAAAAATTAAAATAGATTCTTAACAGTACAGAAATAGAACACAGTCGCAGGTTATTTTCTCCTACGTCATGTGGTCGCGAGGCATCCATTACTTATTACGGCCATTTTTGTTTATACCAAGCTCCATGGAAACAGCCGCCAGAAGAGATAAAACTGCTGCGCACTACTCAACCAAGTCATTTCCAGATTCCCTGTTCGACACATCGCCGTCGTTTTGAGGGACTTCTTAACATTTTATTGCAACTATTTTCGCCTGTTTGTTATATCAATCAAGTAAATCATGGTAAGTTGATTATTAATTACATTGGCAATAATAATATCGATATTCCGTGGAAAAAGAACGTATTTTATTTAGTGAATTTAATTAAAATACTTAATTATTGCATGTTTCACCCTCGGCCATCATCATGACATTCATTCAGTACCGGCAAGCCGGAAGTGAAAACGACCGCGTAGAAAATTTATCAATTTTTATTTAACTATTAACTCTACTCCATTTGCCACAAAAGAGCTTTAATAGATCCTTTTAAAGCTCTGGCATGAATTCCCCTAGTTCGATCGAAGTGTAGACATTAATACATATAGCTGAAAAGCACCGGTATTTTTAGTGAGGATAAAAAAAAATTTGAATAAGCGTGGGCGAACGTGGTCTGCTGTCGGCCATTTTGTATTTGTGTGTGAACTGATCGTTTGTAGTTGTGACTGCTGGTAAGTTCCATGTTAGATAATTATCTTAGACAAGGTTAAGTAATTTAGTCTTTTAACACCCTGATTTTTTTTATTTTTGTTGCATTGTAGTAGCTTTATTGACACTTTAGCCCAGCCCTACTAATAGTAAAATAGCCAGTCCCTCTGACTGCTCTGATTGAGGCAAGGCCAAGGTATATGACTATGATGGTGGCTACATATTTCTGAGGGCAAAAAAATTGAAATAAAGATAATACATTCATGAAAGCAAAGACGTTTCATTACATGAACATACAATTTGAAGTTTACATTTGTCTTTTTAATCCAAGTAAGTTGGGGCAGCACTAGTTCTTGGGATAATTTCTTAAAAAAACACTTTACTGTTACTTCTAGAATTAGGTTAATTTCCAAATGAATAGTTTTGGCATTGATACCTTGTTAATCTTATGAAAAATGTCCCTCTTTATCCAACAAAAAGTTGTGACCTATTTAATTTAAAAATACTATTGAAATTTGGCCTTGAAGTGCATTTTTAGTAATAAAATAGTATTCCTCGGATTTTTATTAAAAAGCAAGTTCCCAACAATTTAATATTCATAATTTCAATTTATTTGTATCATCTTATACATTTCTATGATTTTAAAACTAAATTTTACTTACTTGGATTTATTCAGACGTTTAAAGATTACAAAAGTATCAACTGTTATTGAACATTATTTGGAGCCGGTTCCATTATCCCGGGGAGACAAAAAAAATGGCCTTTTTTTTCTTTCCGGTGATGGGGGTTGATCTTACATGTGGATAGCGATAACATTCAATGGTTCTGGGTTAATTGACTATTTCAAAGTTTTTAACAATCCAGATGAGATATTAAACCTGAGCTTTTGGGTTTCAATCATGTATGAATGGTCCAAAGAAGTATTTCAGATATTTAAAGCTTACCGATGAGCGTCAACATAAGACAAATATTTAATGTAATAACAAATGTATTATTAGAAAAATGACAGAACACAAAAAACAGAGGACACCACAGAGCCGATTGTTAAACGGCCACAAAATTTTATCAGGGATTTTTCAACATGCGCAGAAAGTATGCGCGGGTGACATTTTAGGGTGCCGAAATAGATTTTGACCAGACAGTAGTCAATAGGTGGTTACAACATTGATTTTCAAAAATATTCTGGGATTTGTGTTATCTAGCCTGTGAGCAAATTGACTCATCAGAAGAGAATGATGTGGAGTTAACAGTTAAGTCGTTACCCTGTCACCCATTTGATGGTCATGATAAATGACAACACACTGTAGAAACACTGACGCTAACTGCTACTTATTCTATGAACCTAAGCTTAGCCTATCTGATCAATATTTAGTTATGGAAATTTTAAATTTTTAACTTATTAATATTAATAATAACTTATTAGGCCATGAAACTCAATTATTTAGGTCAATGACATGATTATCTTGGAATTCAGAATGACAATTTTGTGTCTCATTGGTCTGTAGTAAGGCCCACTCTTAATACCGTACCAATTCGTTTAAAGTTAGTTGGTTTGACTACAAATAATGTAGACTAATCCTATTTGAAACAGTGTTTTTTTTGTTTTTTTTTTAAATTTTTTTTTTTGTTTTTGGAAAAATGACAACACATTATTTCTCCCCAACAACTTAAATGACTAAGATTGAAGTTTGAAGGGTCTCATTCATGAATCATTAGTGTCCATTTTCACAATGCAGTAAGCTGAAATTGTTATATAATTTTAGTGATTAAAAGCCCGACAATTAAGTACCATTGGCACGTAGCCTGGAAATGTACACCTCATTTAGGCTGAAAAATATTTAATAACATTAAAAAAAAAATATTCTGTGACACTGACAGTCCTGGTTACTTGTAGCTGGACAAATTGATCTTTCAATATATATATAATATCAAGAATTTTTCTTTTTGTCATTTTAGCGTGAGTGTATTTCCATCCATGTTGGCCAAGCTGGAGTCCAGATTGGTAATGCCTGCTGGGAGCTGTACTGCCTTGAGCATGGTATCCAGCCAGATGGTCAGATGCCATCAGACAAAACCATTGGTGGTGGTGATGACTCATTCAACACCTTCTTCAGTGAGACTGGTGCAGGCAAACATGTACCCAGAGCTGTATTCATTGATTTGGAACCCACAGTAGTTGGTATGTTTTGTCCATTTTGCTCTGTTTTCACCCTTTATATTTGACTATCATTTAGTATACATTATCTGTAAATGTTTATTGAGAATGGTAATATTTAGATTATTATGTAACTTGTTTTCTTTTCTATCCCAGATGAGGTAAGAACAGGTACTTACCGTCAGCTGTTTCATCCTGAACAGTTGATCACTGGTAAAGAAGATGCAGCCAATAATTATGCAAGAGGTCATTACACCATTGGCAAGGAAATTGTTGACCTTGTACTTGACCGCTTGAGGAAGTTGGCTGACCAGTGCACTGGTCTCCAGGGATTCCTGATCTTCCATAGGTTGGTTTTGTGGTTACTCTTTTAAAGTAGAGAAATCAGATTTGTTTTCTTGTTTTTAAATTTAATTCATTCTACAATTGTCCATTTACTCTTATGGGGGTTCCTATTTAAATCATTAATAGTGGTACAAGTCCTATTAATGAATCTGGTTCCAGGAGATAAGCTTGTTATTGCCATATCTTCACCTAGTTTTGGTGGAGGCACTGGATCTGGATTCACATCCCTGTTGATGGAGCGTCTTTCAGTTGATTACGGAAAGAAGTCTAAGCTTGAGTTTGCCATCTACCCAGCTCCGCAGGTATGCAACAGAGTTGTATATTTTAAAATCATTTTAAAAAAATTCTTTCTATTTGAATTTTTTTTTTTAAGGTTGTTAGGTGGTTGGTAAAGTATATTGTCTTAAAACTATAGGCACTAATCTTGATATTGTAGCTGAATGTATCATGTATTCATCATATATAATTTAAGCCTAGCAGTTAAGTTTGATTTTGCTTTTCATTGATCAGATCTCCACTGCTGTTGTTGAGCCATACAACTCGATTCTAACAACACACACCACACTGGAACACTCAGACTGTGCCTTTATGGTGGACAATGAGGCCATTTATGACATTTGCCGTCGTAATTTGGACGTTGAACGCCCTACCTACACTAACTTGAACCGTCTCATAGCCCAGATAGTTTCATCAATTACTGCATCTCTTAGGTAGGAACTCTTTCTCAGAATGATCCAAGCTTATTTAAGAGTCTTATATCATGGATTATTTCTAAAGCCATGTACTTAAATGATCTGATATTTCTAATTATTTCATTATGTTTTTCAGCATTTTTTTTAAATGCCTTAACTTCTATTTCTTTAGGTTTGATGGTGCCCTGAATGTTGATTTAACAGAGTTCCAAACCAATTTGGTTCCATACCCTCGTATTCATTTCCCACTGGCTACCTATGCTCCAGTCATCTCTGCTGAAAAGGTACATTCATTTCATTTTAATGCTATGTTTAATTTATAATTGGCTTATAAGCTATTTGTGGTAAATAATGCATTACACAGTACGTTTTAGATTTTTTATTTTTTTTTTAATTTTCATATTTGTTTCATTTTTTTTTATTTTTTTTTTTGTTTCAGGCCTACCATGAGCAAATTTCAGTAGCTGATATCACTAATGCTTGTTTTGAGCCTGCCAACACCATGGTGAAATGTGACCCACGTCATGGCAAGTACATGGCCTGCTGTATGTTGTACAGGGGTGATGTTGTCCCCAAGGATGTCAATGCTGCTATTGCTACCATCAAGACCAAGAGGACCATCCAGTTTGTTGACTGGTGCCCAACTGGCTTCAAGGTATTTAAATTATGCTTGGCTTATTTTAAAAGCTTATGTAGTGCTTTCACTTAAGGGTATGTCAACTTTATGAACTTGAGCACATTGTTTTGTTAGTGAGTCCTTGGATCTAATTGGATTGATATTAAAATATGTAAATGCAATAAACTTGTTTCCTTTCAGTACAATCAGTTTAAATATTTGGGTTGTTGACTTGTGACTATAAAGTCATCAGGAATGTTATCTCACCATTGATGTTAAATATGTGCTAAAATGTTCTTTACTGGAATTAATTTCATTTTTCAGGTTGGCATCAATTACCAGCCACCCACTGTAGTCCCTGGAGGTGATTTGGCCAAAGTTCAGCGTGCTCTTTGCATGTTGAGTAATACCACAGCTATAGCTGAGGCCTGGGCCAGACTTGACCATAAGTTTGACCTCATGTATGCTAAACGTGCTTTTGTCCACTGGTAAGTGGAATGCAGCTTTGTTTTTTATATATATATTTGTATAATTCATACAACTTGAATTATCCAGGGTCTATATTTTATCCAATTGTGTTTCCCCTCACCTATATGTTCGTATAATGAAACTTCACTTTTCTTCAGGTACGTTGGTGAGGGCATGGAGGAGGGAGAGTTTTCCGAGGCTCGTGAGGATCTTGCTGCTCTTGAAAAAGATTATGAGGAGGTTGGAGTCGATTCTGCTGCCCAAGGAGAGGGTGAAGGCGAGGGCGAAGAGGAATATTGAGCTAGCCAACTTAACTACCCCAAGCAATTTTCGAATTGGCTTTTATCATTGTATGTTTTTATTAACTGTATCTTCAAAAATATAATTCGGATACTGGTACAGTTGGATTGTTATTTTTTATACCAGTTTATAATCGACCTAAGGATTCTGTTTCGTTGTCCATCAGTCTAGGAGATGAAGACCTGCTTTTTATATTAACACCGTTTACAACAGATGTTAAGTGCTTTCTGTTGTCCGAGTAGGAAAGATTTTTTTTTATTTAAGGGGGAAATTATTTTAATGCTTTTGTGTGTCAAGATCGATTGACCTTTTTAAAAAAATACTTCAACTGTTCATTTTGCATTTTATTTTGAAAATTTTATGAAACTTTAAAATAAAAAGTGTTCATGTTAAGATTAGGTTTGAGCTTTATTTCATTGCATGTTTTTATGCTATGGCTTTATGAAACGATAGCATTCCCAATGACCTCATGTTACAGGAGTGTCTTTGTTTGTATACAAATTATCAACGGTAATGGAGGGGCTTTCAGAAATCTTTTCTGCATTTGGTGTATAAAATTTTAAAATGTTTTTTTTTCTTCCCCAGTCTTTTTGACAACTTATGATTTATATTTGTAAACAAATTGTTAAAGCGGAATGATGGATTAAAATACTCTTTGATATAAAGCTCGCCTTGTTTCATTTGAGGAACATTTAGTTAAATGTGCAAATGTTGGTTTCATCACTGCAATGTGCAATTCTGAATTGGTTGAATGCCCTTTGTAATGGTGTAGGCATAGTGAAAAGATTAATATATTGATGATGATGATAAATGGTACAAATATGTGTTTCTATAGTTAAAAGATTAAAGATAAAACAAATTAAAAGGTGCTGCAGCAAACTGTCATTACTAAAGGTGCATAATTCTTTTAAATTTTGTTTTGAATATGCAAGCTTGAGGCAGTCTTAGCATTTAAACCAAATGGCTTTCAATCTTGTCGGTCGAATATTTCAATTAAAATTGTTTGTTCAAAGCAATAGTCTTCGGAGACTCATTTTCAAATGTGTGCTTTCGAGCGAGTGGCCCTACAAAGTTCTTATAGAGATCATTTGATTGGGGACTTAGTTATGAACATGCTCTAAATGTAATTAATAATGTAAAGGAACATAAGGACATAATCATAGCATCAGTTTTATAGTTTTCATTTTTCAGTATTCTTAAGAAACTAATTATATTTATATTCTTGGATGCCCTAAGTAGTTGAAAAATTAAAAAGATTAGTTGTTTTCAAACACGTTTATTGAAGCTAAAATTTTAGATGTTTCACTAACAAAAAATAACAATTTTGTAACATACAATTATTACATCAAGTCTCCTTTATTCGAGAGTACGATACATGTTAAATCTCACTCTAAGTACTGCTCAATCCCTGGTACTTAAGACAAATGTGAAGAATGCACACATTCAGCTTAAACAAACATAGAAAAACTTCTCTCATTTCAACTTCCCCATTTCAATAAGGTGAATAGGTGCAGTCATTGTCTTGAGGCATGGGCACATAGGGCATAAGAGGAGTCTACGGCTGAAATTTTCACTAGCATCTATTCTGTTCCTTGATTAATGTTAACAGGCTCTGGAGCCCCTTCAACAATCCCCATCTCCAGACTTGTTCGAGAGCATGCTAAAAGGGGTGCAACTAATCTATGGCTAAATGCATAGGCATTAAAAAACCAGCCCCCCCCCCCCCAACTGATGAAATTGAAAGAAACCCTGATCATAATGTTTATTCCAACCCGGGACTCCAAAGCTTTTCCTTACATTACTTGAATATGTTACAGATGAATATAAGTACAAGGCCTCCGTGAATGACTTTGCCAGGGCCCAAAATGCTGTTGCTGTCAAGTATGACTCCAAAATACCCCGTAGACTTCATATTCAGTTCAGTAAAAACATCTCCTTCACAATATTAACAAAATTAGAAAACTCAAACGGAGTTTATGCTGCTGCAAGAGAATGTATTAAGTGTACATGTGATCTCTTTTAATGATTAATAATTGTGGTGCTAGTTCTCCTAATTGAGATTCCATGAAGATTCATCATTCAATTCATCATGGTCGTGTGATGGGGGCACTCGCCCCGAATGCCAACATCAGTGGGGGTTCCAAAATCGTCTGTAGATAAGAACTTAATATTGAATCAAAAGATAAAATTTTACGTTTAAAAAAAACGTAGGCTTCACAGCAAAAAAATCCTTAATACAGTTAGTAGAAGTAGAAATAGCATTGAATGGCAATAGTTAATAATGTCACCTCGCACGCATTTGCTGATCAGATTAATTTAAAGGTGAAATTTAAAAAAAAATAACAATAATTGAATAAATCTAGCGCCTGTCCTTGCTGCAATGGGAAACGTATCCACCTGTAAGTGTAAGCCAAACTTGAAAGTTTTGGAAACACTGAATTATAAATTATTGTAACTGACAATGACAATTGATATAAACCCCTAAGACTTGAATGAACACGAAACAAAAAGTAATCTGAAATTGAATCAGCCCAAACCATCTATACTTCAAACCGAAGTCTAAACGTATACATTTTGTAAAAGATAGTAAGGGGAAAGACTGCAATCAGGTTCGGCAATATGAAATAGGTAAAACAGAGAACCTGAAGTAGGAGAAAAGCGTGGGGAAATAAAATGACGCAACAATAAAATAAAACAATAAAAGATTCGTTGTTTTAAGGTTTTCTCCTCCTTTGTTGTACATATTTCCTTCATATTTAAAAAAAAGAAATAAAAGAAATAACTTCCAGAAATGTTGCAATTATTTAAACGCTGGTAAAAGAGACGTTTAGAATCATCCCAAGTAATTTAAAAACATGGTTCTTGAAAATAAATTTGACTTTCAATTTTTTAAAAATCGTTCTGCTGCTGATAATCGCTCTTTTGACTGATGAGTTTGCCGACCATTCATTAATTAGCCTACATTTGAAATCCAACACACCTAAATTTAGCTCTTGGGGGACATTTTAATTTATTTTATCATTTTTTGGACACGCTTTAAAAAGTTTGTCTCTGTATTGTTTTATTTTGTATTTTTTAATCTTGTGACATGTAATAGGACTTTAGGAAATGGGTTGATACATATGACTAAATAAAACAATCCCTAAAAACAACGTTTTTCGTATAGTATAAATCCTTCACAAAATGTAATATTGAGCAATTTGAGGAGGGGGGGGGGGGAGGCTGAAAATTTCCCAAAACATACATACAAGTAACGCACTTTATAAAACAAAAGAAAATATTAGGCACCAAGCACATTTGCGATATTTAAAAAAAAAATAATAATTATTTAGCGCAGTTATCGGGAATTTTATTTCATGAAATCAGTTTCATCATATTTCCTGCATTCATATTCCCTTTGACAAGCAGATTTTTTGGAATCTGTGGGGGGGGGGGGCGGTTGGGAGGGGGCGCTCAAAATTTAATAGAATGCGTTGTGGGTCAATTATCAGTCTTAAGAATTAGCCAGCCAGCCACGAACAAAAGCGAAATTAATATGAAAGATTAAACTACCCCTAAAACAAAGTTTTTCATATAAATCCTTTATAACATGTATTATTGAGCATTGGTGGGNCCCCAACCAAGCATCGCAACCACACATTTTTTTAACGCCCTTGAACTATATTAATTATTAATATTCTAATGACCCAATCATTTTTTTTACCAACTATTTCAGTTTCAGAAAAACAAAAACAAAAGAAAATACCAGTATCACGCACCAAACGCACTTGCGATATTTTCTTTAAAGACTTTCATTTAGCGCAGTTATCGGAAATTTTCCTTCACATTACCTTTGAGATTGGCAAAATGTGTTGTTATGGGCAATGAGTCTAAGTGCCAAGTTTCAGCTTTACGGAAAGTGGGCAATTAGCTGCCCGAAGATTTTGCCAGCCAGTCAGTCAGCCACCCATCCACACACACACACACACACAAAGCGAAGTTAATATAAAGGATTTCAAAAGAGTGGGGTGCCCATAAAATTCAACCATCAATTTCAAAAGTGATGACCTTTCGTGGTAACATTTTGTTTGCATGGTTGAATATTATCGGGAACAAGTAACCATACATAAGGCAGTAACAGAGGAAAAACCCGATGTCCCCAGTGGCGTAGCGAGGGCTAGCCGAGAATTTGCCCCGCACCCCCCCCCCCCCCCCCCCCCCCCCAACCAAGAAAAAACTCTGCAGTAAGGCAAAAATCCCGTCCATATAGAAAGAAGTTACCAGGGGTTGACCGCCCACTCCGCCACTGGATGTCCCTATCACATTCCATTCCTGGGATATTCACATAGGTCACTCAAGGTCAGTGGAGGTCACTCGCAACATACCTATCATAAAGGGTTGTATTGTCATTGAAGTGTGTAAATGTACAAAGTTTCAGCTCCAATGTAAGTGAGGAATTTGGTCAAAACTGAGATACAAGAATCCACCACAATGTCCACGATCTAACAAACAAATGGATAGAGCAATCTAAGACTAATAGTCTAAGAGGGAAAAAAAGTATAAAATTACGGCCAATTTTTTTTTTTTTTTTTAATTAAAATTTTTTTAAAATTATTATTTGGTTTACAAAAACCGCAGTATATTTTATTTCATTAAAAAAAATGTATATGAATAAAATTGATTTTTTATTCATTGATTTTGTGGCTTTAAGTTGACTTACGGTAACGGTACGATCTATCTAACAAACAAATGGATAGAGCAATCTAAGACTAATAGTCTAAGAGGGAAAAAAAGTATAAAATTTCGGCCAATTTTTTTTTTTTTTTTTAATTAAAATTTTTTTAAAATTATTATTTGGTTCACAAAAACCGCAGTATATTTTATTTCATTAAAAAAAATGTATATGAATAAAATCGATTTTTTATACATTGATTGTGCGACTTTAAGTTGACTTACGGTAACGGTAACTAAGTAAAATCTGACCTGTGTAGGCATGTTATAAAATTCGTGCGTCACCAGCGTTGTGTGTTACGATTGTAACCATTGGCGACTTGCACTGGCCACGGCAGACGTCTTCAGAATTTTAAGCTACACTTGTATACGTCACTAGCTGTGTATTGATTTTCTTTAGTTTTTAAGTAAAGTTAGTGGGGTGAACTATCATAGCTTAAACCTAAAAACAGTGTTAGCTTATTAATTAATATCTCATTTCTTGGCTTAGACAAAAAAAAAGCATTTAAATTTTAATATTTCAAACATGAAAAAACAAATATTTAAAACAGCTCCTTTGGTAAAAAAATTGAAAATACTAAAACAAAAGCACATCTGCATAAACATTAGTACAGCAGAACAATACTTAAGTCCAGATTAATTTAAGGCATGGGCCCGGCAAACATAAGTGCTCATACTCATACATACTCATAGCCATAGATAGGCTCTTAAATATTGTTTGACTCGTCTATTAAAATCAGCCCGGACACCCTAAAGCCGGTTCTGGGTGCGTTGACCACCTTCCCTCATGTATAATATGTCCCTTTCAATACCAACAATAAGTTCCTAATGGAATATCAAAGTTTTCATTTTATATATTAATATTTTAAAAATCTAAGTTAATAAATCCAATTCACTCACAGTATTGTAATCATACAAATTATAATGTAAACAGTAGTTAGCCCAACCTAACTTGTTTTAATCATAATCATTAACTGTCAAAATTTTCAGTAAAAGTTATATTCTTTTGATTAAATTCTTTTTTTATTGGTGATTTAACTAGTGTAGTTCAAAGTGACAATATTTGAAATAGTTGGGGTTTATTTAAATTTATTATTAAATTATTCTAATTATTTTAGCATTAGTAATAACAGCGATTAATTTTAATGATAAATTGGTGTTAGTGCTATGTTAATGTTTGTCCCTACCCCCAAATTATTTAAATTAGTATGTTCTATACATTTCTCTATCAATAGTATTAATAATATGGGTTAACCTTCGTGTTCTGACAGATCTTTATGATTGCTACGACGCCATACTGTTTACCCGTAGCACCATGGCCACAGGTACCACGTGACCATTCAGCCCGAGTATATAAAATTTGCGTCCTAGTCTGCTAGTTACGAGAAGTTAGTGCCAGACGCCCTGTTCGACACATTAACGTCGTGAATAAGGGACTTCGACACTTGATTCGTACTTAGAACCATACCCTAACAACCAAAATGGTAAGTGAACAATTTTGGTTAAGAGACTGAAACATGTTAACCAGAATTTCTCAATGTTTAAAAACTTTTATCCTTTATTTACTTCACTGTTATTAAGCGTTATTCAAGTTGTGACCGCGGAAGGGTAAAAAAAGTCCGGTACTTAACAACTTACCTCAATAAATCAATTCATTGAGTTTTAAGCCTAGGCTGCGTAGTAATGTTATTTCAAAATTTAAACCTTAGCCGCGCTCAGCCTTTTATTGTATAATGTTGTCTTATTTTATTTTAATTTAACCTTTAGTTTTTTGATAACGCTTACCACTGAATTCATTGGAATATAAACCGTTAGTTCATTTTGATGAACTAATAGTACTAATACTAGTAGAAGTATGGAAGACCAAGATAGTATTAATAATTGAAAAAAAAATAAATACTATAATACAAATTTAATGTTGCACATGGAGGAAGATTTGATTCCATCTTGATCCATTGGTCTAACGAGTCCTCTTAGCTGTTGACACCTTAAGGTCATTGTCAGTGGACTATCTGCTTTTCATGTTAACAGGAACACCCCTTTCCCCATTTTCAGAAGAAAAAACCCAGAAAATTTCTCAACCCCTCCCCCCCCCCCCAGGTCTAACGAGTCCTCTTAGCTGTTGACACCTTAAGGTCATTGTCAGTGGACTATCTGCTTTTCATGTTAACAGGAACCCCCCTTTCCCCATTTTCAGAAAAAAAAACCCAGAAAATTTCTCAACCCCCCCCCCCCCCCCCAATCATATAATCTTCATCAACTTATATGGCTAGTATCTTAATTTTAAAGGAGTAGACCACATTGTTGAATCATGATTGTAAATTGTGTTAGTGTCCTAGTAAAATTGTTGGAATGTTAAATTACCTAGCCAGCCTAAATCTTTTAATAAAGTTGTGCCACATTGTTACTGTTAGTAGTGTTCGAGCTGTACTGAGTTGTGTTTCCCAACCTTTTTTGCCCCCACAATGCCCACATCCCATCCACACTGATCACCTTTAATGTCACCCCCTTAGTGACCTAGCATGGTAATGGAATGTATTTCTTAAGATGAGAAAAACCTTGAATGAAAGGTCAATTGAGAATATTAGCTTTAATTCTATATAATAAAATGTGAGGCTTCACCTGTACAAATGTAATTAATGCAAAATGTTTCATATTAAACTTAAAAAAATTATTTCATCCTACAGCGTGAGTGTATTTCCATCCATGTTGGTCAAGCTGGAGTCCAGATTGGCAATGCCTGCTGGGAGCTGTACTGCCTTGAGCATGGTATCCAGCCAGATGGTCAGATGCCATCAGACAAAACCATTGGTGGTGGTGATGACTCATTCAACACCTTCTTCAGTGAGACTGGTGCAGGCAAACATGTACCCAGAGCTGTCTTTGTTGATCTTGAGCCCACTGTGATTGGTAATTTATTTTTTGAAAATCTTGTGTGAATAATTACCCTTATTTATATGTATGTGTTGTATATCCAGTACTTATGTAAAGTTATTTCTTTCCCTAATGTAATTGAATTAATCTGGAGATCATTTTTAATCAGATGAGGTCCGCACTGGAACCTACCGTCAGCTGTTCCACCCAGAGCAACTGATCACTGGCAAGGAGGATGCTGCCAACAATTATGCTCGTGGTCATTACACCATTGGCAAGGAAATTGTTGACCTTGTACTTGACCGTCTCAGGAAGCTGGCTGACCAGTGCACTGGTCTTCAGGGATTCCTTATCTTCCACAGGTTAGTTAGAACAGTGTATTTTTCAGTGGGGTCATCGCTTTTTAAATAACATTCATTAGTCTATTATAATATCAAATGTGCTCTCAAGATCTTTTTATAATTGAATTTGGCATTGACAACCCACTTTTCTTCATAAAATCTGGAGGTCTTGTAACTCTCTTCTGGCTCCATAAAAATTAAACTTTATTTTCTGGAATGCAATGAATAATTCTTAAATATAGATATATTATCTTATAGATAATATTATCTTATAGATATATACTGCTTCTACTGATTTTTCTAAGTAATATGATTTATTCTAATTTTAAAAAAAACCAGCTTTGGTGGTGGCACTGGCTCTGGCTTTGCATCCCTGCTCATGGAGCGTCTCTCTGTTGACTATGGCAAGAAATCCAAGTTGGAGTTTGCCATTTACCCAGCTCCTCAGATCTCCACTGCTGTTGTTGAGCCCTACAACTCCATCCTGACCACCCACACCACACTGGAACACTCCGACTGTGCCTTCATGGTGGACAATGAGGCCATCTATGACATCTGCCGCCGCAACCTTGACATTGAGAGACCAACTTACACCAACTTGAACCGTCTGATTGGCCAGATTGTCTCATCCATCACTGCATCCCTCAGGTAAGCTTTCATAGCCCACTAAATTTGTAGATTTGCTTTTTCACAATTTTTATCCTTCCAGTATTTGATAAGTTTGAATATCTGTTAAATTGATAGCTAATATAATTTCAATTTTCTAGGTTTGATGGTGCCCTGAATGTTGACTTGACTGAGTTCCAGACCAACTTGGTGCCATACCCACGTATCCACTTCCCACTGGCCACCTATGCCCCAGTCATTTCTGCTGAGAAGGTAAGATGCATGGCATTTTATCAAAACTTATTAACCTTGAAAGAGTTAAGGTTTAATTCACAATTTGTACTATCCATTGTGATTCATCTATAGAATAAGTCTTTGTAATTTTCCAGGCCTACCATGAGCAACTCTCAGTTGCTGAGATCACCAATGCTTGCTTTGAGCCAGCCAACCAGATGGTGAAATGTGACCCACGTCATGGCAAGTACATGGCCTGCTGTATGTTGTACAGAGGTGATGTTGTCCCCAAGGATGTCAATGCTGCTATTGCTACCATCAAGACCAAGAGGACCATCCAGTTTGTTGACTGGTGCCCAACTGGCTTCAAGGTAAATTACTGTTGGTCAATTTACAGCATAAGATTGAAACTGATTATCTTTGACAGCTTGTCAAAGTTAACAATTAACATTCTTGATATGTAATTTATTTACATTTGAAAAATGGAATGATACCGGTATAAAAAATTGGAAGTCAATTAATATTGAACAATGCCTACCAAAGTAAACACATTATTGCAACATTAAGATTAAGAGAGAATTCATTGAATAATCATTTCTAAAGGCTGTTCTTGTTAACAATTTCAATTATTTTTTAATCAGGAAAATTATCTCACCATTGATGTTAAATATTATGTGCTAAAATGTTCTTTACTGGAATTAATTTCATTTTTCAGGTTGGCATCAACTACCAGCCACCAACTGTTGTGCCTGGAGGTGATTTGGCCAAGGTCCAGCGTGCAGTTTGCATGTTGAGCAACACAACTGCTATTGCTGAGGCCTGGGCCAGACTTGATCATAAGTTTGACCTCATGTATGCCAAACGTGCCTTTGTCCACTGGTAAGTAGTTCTTACTTTTAAACACCCAAGCATGTTAGGTATGCTTGCATATAGAGTTATCGAGTCTTGGATGGCTTCCAATGAAGCACAATTAGGTTTAAAATTATTTTTAACCAAGTCAAGCCTTTATTTTTTGTTTTACTAGTGTCTTGTCAGGAAATTTAAAGATTCCATTATATTGCTTAAAGCAGAACCTAAGAGTGAAAAAAATGGCCTTTTTAAAAAAAAGATACCCAAATAATTTTTTTGTTTCATCACAGGTACGTCGGTGAGGGTATGGAGGAGGGTGAGTTCTCAGAGGCCCGTGAGGACTTGGCTGCTCTGGAGAAAGATTACGAAGAAGTTGGTGTCGACTCCGTCCAGGGTGAGGGAGAAGAGGAGGGTGAAGAGTATTAAATCTGAAAACCTCCACTTCAGTGCTGATGCACTTGTGATAATGGCTTTTTCTCATGAAATTTTTGTTTTATGAGGAAAAGTTGTGTTTCCTGTCTGTGCAGCTAAACTACTAATCCTACAATTTACAAAAAAAAAATTTTTTTTCGAAAAGTGAAAATGTTTATAATGTATAAGATCACTTTGTAGGATCATGAAATTGAAGTACTTATTTCACAGGTTAAATTTTGTTTTTTGTCATCATTCCAATTGTTGAAATTATCACTTACAGCAAGTGCTTTTTCTTTTTAAGTATTAGCTTTGATGTATAAAATCCTTTTTTTTATGCAATTAAGAAAATTTTACGACAATGGTCGATTATGGAATAAATTTCGAGTGTTTTATAAATTGCATAGTTTGTTTTCTTTCAATATACTGTTACTATGTCAATTAGTTGTTTTTTTTTGTAAGGGTCTTCAGCGTGTTAATAAATATTAATTTGCTTTTTACTGTGTTGTCTGGCATGGTTATGTTGCACTTGATCTCCTGTAGCACATTTTACACAATATGGGAAATGACATTGGCGCTCAGTTTTTGATGACTTGAAGGGTTCATTCAGTTTTTAAATTTTGAAAAGAAGAAATGTTAATTTAATAGAAAAGTTTATTTTTACAAGGAGATAAAATTGAACCTGCAGAATGGATAAATTCTCCTGAAATAATAGTGATGTCACATACCAGCTTATCAAAATCTTTGTAAAATTTTCTATTTTAACTGAAATCTTAGGGTATCTGTACAATTTAATATATCAAGGTATATTCAAAAAAGGCACTTGGTGAATTGAAAGAAATTAGAGCACAATTAAAGAACATTTTTAGTTGTAAAATTGATTAAATTAAAAGCCTTTAACTGAAGGTTCTGATAAGGTCACGACACTAAAGAATTCTGGCCAGCATATAAATTTGTAATACATTTAGAAGCAGCATTTGAAAGTGCTACAGTTCTTAAAAAAATTCACTCAAAAATCTGTATGATGAATGTAAAAAAAACAATTTCCATTTATTTGGTTCAATAAAAAATAACTTGTATCTTATCCTTAAGAAAGAAATCCTTTATCTTGAGCATTAAATTAGTAATGGTATGGATCATGAAGTTGAAAAGTGGTTTAATCTGCTGCAGTTTGTAAAAAAACTAACATGATTTTTTAACTTGTTTTTTTTTTATATCTCTTCCAATTAACGTTTATTGGGGAGATTGAAGTAGTGACACTGAATATTTTGTGATAATGATGTAAATAATTGAACTGGGCAAAGACAAAAAAAGTCCTTTGACAGGAATTAAACTCAAAAGTTAAATTGAAATGATTCAATTTATTATATTATTCAGTATTTATTTTAAAAACAAAAAGGGGAGTACTTTAAGTGGAGATTTGAATTATTAAAACTGCTTCCCTCGAGTAGTTGCCTCCCTTGGATTAAAAAAAACTATTGAAAATATTTTAATTCTACAAAAGTCATGTTGCAGAAATCAAGGATCCTTAAAACACTTAAATAATCATAACAAATGTTATAATCATAATAAACGAGATAATGATGCATGGTTTAATCATCAGCTTTCCACCGCGGCTGATTTCAACTTGTGTAGTTCGAATAGTTTTCAGGTTCATAAAATAACTTCATAGTCATAGGTGTTGAAAAATATTTGCTACGAAAAAAATTCAATGCCACCGCTACTGTTGATACACAACAATAGGGCATTAAACTAAAAAATGTATAAGATTGGGCATTCAACTACAAAGTATACGTTTATTGCAAGGTATCCGGGACAGAATCCATCAAATTATGCTGGGAAAACTTGTTGTCTTGGACACTATTTTCCTTGAGATCTTAACCTTTATGTGTTTTGTAAAATATCTAATTTGTTTTGTAAAATATCTTAGGTGCTTTGAACAATATCTTATGTGTTTTGTACAATATTTTATGTTTTGTAAAATATTGTATGTTTTGTACACAATCTTATGTGTTTTGCACAATATGTTAAGTGTTTGGTACAATATCTTATGTGTTTGGTATAATATGTTATGAATTTTGTACAATATCCTGGAATTTGGTACAATATCTTGTGTTTTGTATAAGAAGTTTGATTGTTAAATATGGCCCGACATAATATTTATTAAAAGGTTGCGGCTTTCGGACCCGGGTCAGAGAAGTGAGAGTTTGGGTTTATTAAAAATATTTTAAAATTATTGTAGGGTTTGTAAGAGAAAATTTGGTATCAAATGAAAGATAATTGAATGGACTATATGTTTGTAAACTTAACGAAAATAAACTACTAGATCTTGATATAGAACATGGTAAACCATGCACAGTAATAAAACCTAGTAATCTTTGCTTGGCTTAAGCCCGTGAATAAATTGTAAGTGTAAGCCTTGCTGTGATTGGTCTATGCGTCATAACCTAAGCCTTGCTGTGATTTTGATTGGTCCATGCGCTGCAAACTATTGATATAAATTGGGCCCGGACTTTCTGTCGTGCAGGTGGACCATGGAGACTCTAGTCTCCAGCTCTCGGGGCACGTCATCAAAACTTATCAGTGCAATCATATTTCCTTCATCTTCCCTTTGAAAAACAGGAGAAGATGATTTTTGGGGTGGGGTTAAAAATTTGAAAGAATATGTTAACATCGGTAATTCAGCTTGATGGGTTGACGAGAAGTGGGTCAATTAGCTGCGAGAAGATTTTGCACTAAACACACAAAAGCAAAGTTAAAATAAAGGATTTAAAAATAATCCTCACACTTTGCATGGTAAGAGCATACCTCACTTTTTTATATTTTTTATTTTGAGCATCCTGGCAATGTGATGAAACCTTTGCAGTAAATTCACATTTAAAATAAAAGTACTTGATTGCCCTTTTAGAAGCACTTCTTCGACTAGGTGTGAAATGAGGTTTGATTTGATCCTTGTAAGAATTAGCGTAATGCAGTGGTCTCAACCTTTTTTTCAAATGAGGAGGGGGGACAAACCTTAAACATAATTATTTATCATTGCGGCACCCCAGGTGAAAACCACCGGTGCAGTCAAAACTTAAAAACTGGGGTCCTTCATCGGTCTGGCTTATTTCCTAAGCTTAAGGTGCCAAAGAAAAGATAACAATTACTGCTTGACAGTGTTTAATTTTTATCTTTTATTTTTATCCTGTTAAGTTTTTAATGCCATTTAGGAGCCACTGCATATTTACTATGTACCAGATTTCATACACAATGAGTCCAAGTTGCCCTGTCATTAGAATGACAAATATGTCTAAAGAGATCTGCATTTCTTTTCTGGTTTACTTCAATATCTTAGCTGTTTTTCTGAGCTTTAGATGACAATTTAAAAAAATATTACATGACAAGTTCAGTAGTAACTGGATTCTAGCAAGAAAATTACTCAAGCTTGTGTTGATTTCAAGCTTCAACACCTCTACAAAATGGAATGTGCCAGACAACAGAAGGTGTAGATTTTCAGGGACACAACGGTCTCATACTTCTCAAAGAGAATTCTTATCCATTTTTTAAAATGGACTTACCCTTAGAATATTGTTAAAAATATCAGAGAACTCTAAATTATTTTTGACTGTAGGTTGATATCTCACAAGAACATTTTGTGTAAACATCTGAAATCAAAGAAACTGTCCTATTATAATAATTTAAAGAATTTTGACATTTTTATTAAAATATATATATATTTATTTCATTAATTCGTATCATATCATTATGGACATTTTTTTCACAGATCACACTGTACATGGACATGGTATTTAAGGGCTCTTTTAAATAAAAAAATCTAGGGGATCACATTATATTTGGATCACATTATGCATGGTAGTATGCCTCGATCTGTGGGCTGAACAGGATTATAGAGGTATAGAAGTGCAGCAAAATTTATGATCAGTAGAGAAGTGGTCCTTAAAAAACTGGAGCCGCAGCATTTGTGTAATCTACTCAACAAAACACATCAACAATGTGAATGGTCATTGCAATATTGGCATCATTGATTAAATGAGACAGAGTGGAAATAATGGGACCTGAATGTCTTCAAAAACTGATTTCTAAACATGTACCCTTATAGAACCTGTGCTCTTCAACACGGTCCTTACTGCGAGTTTCCCAGTGTGGATGGACACAGAAAGAAGTCATATGGATTGTGCTCTTTGAAGCTAGAGCTCCTAAATTATGAAACAGTTTGCCTCAATCATTGAGGGAAATTTAAATTAATAAAAAATCATCTTTTTTCTTTAAATAGATTTTAGAACATCAGAGCGCTGTGAGCATGCTATAGTAGCATGGACACAAGCGCTATGATAGTTTTCAATCATCATCATCATTATAAAAGTATTCTATCATCATGTGTAGTAAATACAATTTTATTGGGAGAAAAAAATTATGAAAAATAGGATTTTTATAAAATAAGTTATATACATTGAACATTCTGTTTTCTCCCCTTGCAATTGTATAGTCTTCAAACCGGTAAATTACCACTGACACGTTCAGCTGGTATGCCGGTAGGAATGAGGGTGTTGCAGATGTCAAAACCTTCAGGAGGGATGACATCGTGGAGGATCATGGCCACTGCTTCATCTTTGAGATCATCAATCTGCAGAGGTAGGAGACAACACGGGTACATTGACGTGTTACGAACATGAGAAATTTGGTCCATTCATGTGTTACAGACACTGTACACAACACTTGTACATTGATGTGTTACAAACATGATACATTTTACATATAAGACACTGGACACGATACTGGTACATTGATGTTTTACAAGCATGACACACTGTACACAACACTAGTACATTGATGTTTTACACTGGTACATTGATTTGTTACAAACACAAGACACTATTACATTTATGTGTTACAGACATGAGACACTGGTACATTGATGTGTTACAAACACAAGACACTATTACATTTATGTGTTACAAACATGAGACACTGGTACATTGATGTGTTACAAACACAAGACACTATTACATTCATCTGTTACAAACACGAGGCACTGCTCAATACTGGTGCATCTATGAGTTACTATCATGAGATGCTATGCACAACACTGGTAAATCCATGTTACACTCACATTAAATTTAGTTGTGACATGTTGATAGTGAGGTGGAAGTGATGGTGGGAAAGAAGTAGAAGACATTATGGTGTCATGGGGTGAAACCATCGCACCAAAGTTAAAAATTAATTCTGGTTTTGCACTCAGGAATAACGTTGTTCATGACTATGCAGTTTTACATTTCCCCTAAAAAAAATTATGACTGTGACTACTCTGATATAGTTCTGGCCCTCATTTGTCTTGATCTCACCAGTCAGGATTCAGTTTAGATAATAAGTAATTGTTAAAATATTCAACGCACTAAATGACCTCCTTGCTTCTCAATATCTTTAAAAGAAAAAATCACATGACTTATTTAAAACATATAATCTTGTCTTGAAACAATACATTAAGAAAACATTTTCCTCTGTATGTGCCTTTTTTTAGGTGGTTTGTTTTGACTTGAGTTTTCACTGATTTATTGTGTTAAAATATAATAATTTTAAAGAGAAATCATTTGTTCAATGATAAATACCGGTATATAATTTTTAAAAAGGCTTATTTGTTGATTGAATAAAAGATTGCTCAAGTAACAATTCTCAGCTCATTATGTCTTTTATGCCACCAATGTAAAAAAATTGGCATTGAAAAGACTTTTGATTAATACATAGAAATGGAACCTTCAATTTGCCTAATGTGCCTCAAGGGTAAAACTTTAAAAAAAACAACACCTACCACCAGAACA